TCTCTCTCTCTCTCTCTCTCTCTCTCTCTCTCTCTCTCTCTCTCTCTCTCTCTCTCTCACTTCAAACCTCCCAGACATCACCTTCATGTTTTCAAAACGAAGCCGCAGGAATCATCCCTAAAAAGAGGAAGAACGATCATATAACCCCCTTTTTTAAGAAAACTCCATTAGCTGCCAACAATTGCTCTTACTTTTAACATAACTATCCTTCGCCATTAAAGTGCTACAGTCCTTCGTTGATCTTCGATTAAGTTGATCTTTTTCTCGGGTCCCAACGGTTAAGTTGAACTTCGGATGACTTTTTCACTCCGTCGACGACTTCAACTCATCCGTAGTCGACTGTCACAATAAAGCCCCACCAATGTAATTCAGCAAACTCATTCAAATGTGTGTTCCACCTAGACCACTAGGATTAGGAGATCAGTCTCCATTTTGAGGGCTCCGTGGAATGAAGGTAAAAATATACATCGCAAGGCGCAAGGTCCTTTTCTCATTTAGCTTCATCATTCTGGAACTCACTCCCTCAACATTTGAGGATTACAAAGTCGGAGGCATTATTTTAAATCTAAATGTTAAATCAAAATGTATTTCAATTCATACTTCATGAAAGGCTATGTGATAGTTAGTCCTTATTTGTAGTGCTCCTGTGTTTTTAGTGTGAAGTGCATGTCGTAATTTATTGTGCTGTGGTAGTATGAATGTCTACAAAATTAGATGTGTTCACGCATACGCATGTTCATGCAATGTATTTGTGTTAAGAGTATGGCATTGCAAAGCGCCTAGAGCTATGTTGCACCTGAATTGGTGCCATAGAAATTGTCTGCATTACTAGTACTACTAACAGAATCTCTGTTCTAAATACTGGACAATATCAGATCAGCATTGAAGAGAACGCAGACTGTATAACAATATTTCTCTCTTTACTGTTTTCAATTATAAAAAATGAATTTCAATTCCTCTCTTTCCGTCTTTATGTGACTTTTCCTTTTTTTGTACTTCTCTCTTTTGCAGTCTTATATCTCAAATATCAAGGCAAAAACAGCCCTTCCCGGCGAGGAATCGAACTTTGATCTCCAGCGTGATAGATGGGGGTTTCCCACTAATCACTACCAATGACGCACTCTTTTTGCTGCCAAATTACAGTTATACGTACTAGATATAATGTGGCAAAATGGTTCTGAACACGAACCTCAGCTTGTGAACATAAATGGCACGTTCAGCAGCTGAGAATTAAGATGCGGAGAAAGAAAGTTGTGTCGTGCGTGACGCTGCGGAATTAGGCGCTCATCAATTTTTGGGCATATAGAGTTACTAATGTCATCTTAAAGCTTGTTCTTTTGTCTTGTATTTAACGAAAAAAATACCCTTCTATTATATATAAAAGTGGAGATATTTACGATTGAAGGAAGTGGGGATTTCCTTGTGTAAGGGCTAAAATTGGCAAGAAATGGCTACCGTACTAAAGTTAGGCCACTTTGAAAGGTTGAGTGTCATTAGAAACTGGAAATTTTTTTTGGTGTGTGTGCTTTTGATCAATACACATCTGTAACATCCACACAGAAATGTGCTTCTAAAAGGACATAAAAGGGGTTGAGCAAAAAAAGGGAAAATTAGAAGGAGAAAAAAAATGCTCAATACCCAGAAAAATGCCGGTTTCTTTGATTTCATTGTTTTTGATAAGCGCCCGATTTCACCACGTAGCCTCACAATTTTTCAAATCATTAACTTGTCACCCTAGGTAAAAGGTTCATAGAACCGAGTTCTTCGTCGTACGACTGGTCAAAAAGGCACAAAATAACCAAACTAAATGCCTGTTACTGCTAGCTTTACGATTACAGATAGCCTTGATTATTCTTTTGAAAATAATTGTTGTAGTTTTTTTGTTTAATCCGAATTTTTAAAAATATAATTCGATCTTCAGGCCTTTAACATAAGATCAGTGTTTGGAGTTGTTGAAAAATCTTTCTTTGGAGCCCAAAATAATTACGAAATGCCCGTGTTCTGTAGAATTTCAGCTTCATTTTGTACGACTGGAATTCAAGATAGCACTAAGCTCGCCATATTGTTATACTGTACTGTTAAAAGGTCCTTGTTATCGTGTGGTTGTTTTCTGCTATGAGTTTGATTCCCGAGAAGAGACTATTTTTATTGAGTAATCAGTCTTTCTGTGAAATGTTGCATTCTGCCCAGCCCGCGTTGGCCTTGAATAATAGCCTATGGCCGGAAGCCCGTCTTCTAAAGAATTTAAATTGTCGACGGGGTTGTAAAAATAACTACATTTTTCCCCAAAAAATATATATATTGTTTTGTGGCTTTCTTTTATGTTGTCGTCGTTCTCTGTTGTGGTATTGTTGTCCTACCATGCACAATGTTGGTCTGTGCCGGTGTGAAACGTCAGGTCACTAAGACCTCTACTCTGAGAGGAATTTTATATTCCTGGAAAAAGAGAAAAGCAGCTTGGACCCTCCATGGATTGAAACCTCGATATGTTGAGGTACAGGTCAAAATTCATGACCTGCTGCACACCAGCGGTCGGCCCTATGTGCGATTCAGTTAGTAAAACAATGAAGTTTAGTAAGAGTTTTACGGCACTTACAACACTATTAGATAGGTCATTTTAGTGCGAAAATCAGAGGTGTTGCGAGAGAGTAACATACACAGAAAAGGAGAGACGAGGACGATAAATGTTTGATAATAAAAAAGAAGTAAACCACTCCAGAGCACCCTCTAACCGCACACGCACAAAAATATGATTTAATGGCATTGCACAGTCTGAACTGATCTACGTCAAACTCTTTACTAAATCGAAACGGTTCAAAGCTCCAGCCGCGTATTGTACGTTCACGCTGTTGTTTGTAACTGGACCAATCTTTAAAAAGAGTGAAAAGGCCTGAACATTTTTATTTCA